GTGCACCTTAACAGCAAGCATGGAAGCTTTGCAGCTGAATATCAATAATGTTATGAATTAATCCCAGGTCGTATATCATAGTCTTCATTTATGAAAGAGCTTTACAGTAATCACTTAATACACCGCAGAGTGCAACACACGCACACACACATGCACAGAGCTATAGTTTTCACAGCTCTTGGAAGGAGAGAGATAAATTAAGTATTCCTTCGGTTATTAAGGATATTGAACTGGACCCTTTCTATCTGAACTAGAATAGTCAACTAAAAACAAAATCATAAAACCATCACTTTCTCTTAAAAACACACATATATTCAATATAAAATTGTTTGCATTTAAAAAAATAACCATCATATAATTAGGAGAATAAAACAAGGTTGGTTCCTGGCAGTAAACTGTAATGTATCTGGAAGTTTTATTAATTCATCGTCTGGAGGGGCTCATGTTCAAGGTTAACCTCTCACAGACTCTTGATTGTGGTGGGAAGGTTAAACAACACATTAACATGCATTAAAATATTAAATTATGGCTCCTTTTAAGGCACGGGGGAAAACAACAACATAAAAAAGGCTTTTAAAGGCCATTTATGAAGAGCAGAGAGGAAGGAGAAACGTGTGTCTGTCCCTTGAATTTTCTTTAATGAACAGGAACTAGTCAAAATTATTACAATGAAAGAACATTTCACATCAAAATCCAAATCATATACTTCCACTAAATAGCAGAAAACAAAATATATTTGCTTATATTACGTTGCCATAATGAGTAGAAGTCTCACCCCCCCCCCCCCTTCCATTCAAAATTCTATTCATGTAATATAAATAAAATGTTTAACTAATAATAACTATACTAATAATAAAAAATAAATAGTCGTAGCTCTCAGGTTTCAAGCGTGTCTTTTGAGAAATAATATTTCATAACATCCTGAACAGATCTTCTGGCTTAAACTTCTGGACTTTAGTGTGCCCCACAGATTTTCTATTGGATTCAAGCCTGAAAAACTGCGGAACAGTAATTTAAACTCACTTCGTTCATTTGTACGAGTGCAAGTTTGTGTAGTGCCGTGTGCTTTGTGTCATCATGCTGTTGGAAGACAAAATGTTGACTTCAAAACTTCATGTTACCCTCAACCCTGATGAGAAAACCAGCCCCGAACACACTGAAACATCCACTTTCACCACTATGTTTTACTTCGTTCTTGAGTTTGAATGCATCCTTTTATCTTCAACATAGGCAACATGGTCAAAATGTTCCAGCTTTGTCTCACCTAAACAAAGAACACGAGTTCCAGTGTCCTTTTTCCCAGGTGTCTTACTGAAGTCTTCACTGGTGTCTTGGCAGTTGTCCTTGATTCTTTATAAACCTCTATAAGATCTCGAAACATCTCACTTTCTGGCTCACTTTCTGTCACTTTGTCACTGCAGTTCTTGACAACTGAAACCACTTGTGTATTCTTCTCCATCTTTTTGATTTTTAATAGTCTTTTCCCTTGTGTTAAAATTAAGATTTTTCTTGATTGTGCACATTGCGCAAGATACAGATATGGATCCGCTATTGCAGTGAGAAACTCTTTTTCATTGGCACCCCTTGTTCAGTCAGATGTGTGATGTTCCGTGGCACCCATGGTTTTCAATCGAGGCGTATTGTCGCACTAAAGTTCGGACAGAAAATTCTGATTATTATAAAGGCCTTTAGTCTAGTTTAATCAAATTAGGTGAACTTATCAAGTCAACAGACAATACTAATAATATTGACCTTTGCAGTTTTTATTTGCTTATTCTTTTTTATTTTATTCCCATTTACCATGGGACTAATAATTTAGTGTAACTGTATAAGAGTTTACTAAGTGTCTCCAAAATCACGATTGCAACTGTTTTTACAGCACTTGGACATGCTATTATTAATCTGCGATCGTTTTTTCCTGCTCCTTTTGGTCAGTATTTAAATAAAAAATGGTCACTTGTCTTCAATCATAGGGGGGAAGGAAAAAGTGGGACAATTAGGCAAAAGATGGAGAGAGGGAGGCAGAGACTTCACTCTGAATCTCCATCACAGAGCAGGTGAGGAGAGATAAATGTCAAAGGACACTTGAAGAAAGAAAGCAACGAGTTGGCTGTGCTCATCCAGGCTAGAATCATTCAACCGTGCACATACAGGCCTTTGGTTACAGTTGAACATGCACACCGCACACCTTACACACAAACATGCGCATATCGACCCCCCTCCCCCACCAATAAAAATACATCTTGTGGTCTGTATTTGACATGCAAGTATTGACCCTTTGACCACTGAGAAAGACAGCACATTACAACTGAATTTACCAGAAATGTGAAAACTGCACAATTTGAGAATAAACAGCACTAGACATTTGAATTAACATTTCTTGTTTTAGTGCATAAACAGCTTTCTGAATTTTCATAAACAGCAACTGAAATGTTCTAAAGTTTCAGGTCAAAGCAGTGGATGGCTAAGTTAAATGCAGAGTTTATCACTGATTGTGAAATGCTTTGTCATTCTTTCTAATGGTTGCAAGTTTGTAATGTAGAGAAACACAAGAAGTCACTCCATATAGTGACACACAGGACTGACAGGGAAACTGTTCCTCCACCTCTTTACTTTACAAAATAAACCATAAATTGTATGGTAAAAAAACAGCAGCTATCGTTGCCAGAACTTTACTGTGAAATGGTAGCACCATCATTGATTTTACGGGATGCAACTGTAATTTTACATATTGTAAACATGTATTTACAGTTAATAACTGTCTAAATGTCACAGTGACTGGAAGGAAGGAGAAAGAACACAGGGTTACCAACTATATACACTTTTATTTACATGCTTTTTAACAACAGTACAGAAGAAAGACCTTACTCTGAACGGTATTCAGATTTATTAGTGTCACTCTGGAAGAAGTAGTGGATGTAGACCCAACCACAGATCCAACAAAGTGTTGAGTGGTGATAGCATGAGTACAGGTGGGTAGCAGGAATGAATCAAACCTGAGTATCCAACTGGAGCAGATGGAGTGATGGGTGCAAGAGACAAACAAGAGGGAATGGAGATCCAAGCAGGCAAGAGGCTATCACGGAGAGTCTGTGAACTTAGCAATAACAGAGGACTGATAGTGAAGAAGGTAGAATGAGAGCATATGACAACAGAACATGGAGGTGTAGTGGATGACTGAGTGGGTGATTACACATCATGGAGAATTGAGGGGAAATAGAGAAACACAAATACAGGCCTGACACCAAAAGCATTTTATTCCATGGGCTTCTAAAAAAATGAAAAAGTAAAAAAAGAAAAAGTAAAAACAAGTACAAATCATGTATTGGTGTTAATACATTCATTTGTTAATTTTATGGCAATAAACCGTATTTGAGCATATCTTTGTTTTTTCTTCATATTTTTTTACAGCGTTCAAGTAGGTCTTGTTGTGCCTTGTTAGTCCTCTTTTGGTGCCCACCCAAGTTCGATTACTTCATTCACACCTGCCCAAAGGAACTGTACCAGAATAGAAAACGAATTTACACCCTCAGTTAGAGATTGAACATATCCTTCGGTTGAGAGTAACATAAACTAACTCCCATATCTCGGTTGCTATGACATAGAGACATGCCAAAATGGTTGCTAAGGTAAATTGTTTGCAATGGAGGGGTCTGTGACATAATATAAACTTCCCTTTTCGCCTCAACTCTTTTCCAAAGCTGAATTTGATAACAGAGCTCTCAGCAGATGTGAAAGAACTGTTAAAGTCCCTTGTCCACTCTTGTCCAGTGGACATTCAAAACCTTTATCGATAAAGATTGTTTTTATGGATTAGTTGTGGCACCTAGTTATACACTGTGTTTTAAGCCCCTGTAAATCTATTACATGTTCGGGGGGGGGTTTGTTGAGATAAGTCCCCATCCCCCCACTCCCACCCCTCACTCTGGGGTCTGTAACAATGATGCAACTGGCAGATATGTATGGGAGCTCTCTCTCGCTCATGCACACGCAAACACACACACGCACACGCACACACACCATCGAGTGTCTAAAGCCAAGTGTCTGTTGCCACTTTTTTCAGGTCTAATTTGCATTAATAAAGAGGCTGTTCCCTGTCAGAAAGTGTTTTATTCGTCTCGAAAAATCCCCGGGTGATCCATGGGCGAGAAGCTCTGGGAGAATCCGACTGTCACACATACGACAAGACGAGTGTGTGGCGCGACAAGATGAGTGTGTGTCGATGTCAGCGGTGCGCGGCTCACCCATGACAGATTGAGAAGAGCTGTCCCTTCACCGACAGGCACGCTTCATTTTCAAATTAATAAATCTGAATAAAATATTTGAGCCTTCATTATGGGAGATTCCTGGCTGACAGCTCGGCGGGCCTCTAGTGTGTGTGCATGTGTGTGTTTGCCTGAAAAAAAAGGGTCTGAAGAGAACAGCTTGCTTTCAATCCACCTGGGCCTTAGCTTCAAATTTGTGATGTGAGACGTGTGTCTGTGTGTGTACATCTGTGTGCATTTCTAATGAACACAGCAGCGGTTGCACATGCTCTCTCTAGTCAGCAAATGCATAAACACACTCTTTACTCCAGTCCCATGTGTCCCTGGGTTTTATCGCATCGACTGCAGGTGTGAATTCAATTGAGGATTAAAGGACCACAATCGAACTTGATAATAATCAAAAAAGAAAAATAAAGTTTTTCTCACAGATAAGTGGCAAGTACGCAAGTCTATTGGTATGTCCAGAAATTCAGGAAATCGTGGATTTGAAAAAGGTTTACATTTATACGGGTGAAATAAGTATTTGACTCAATCAAATCCAACTAAACACTTGGAGATGACAATCAGAATTGGAAACGTCACAATTGTCTTGTTGATAACTACCAGGTTTGCACATATTTCTGGAGGTAATCTTTGTAGATACTCATTTACATTACATTTACATTTATGCATTTGGCAGACGCTTTTATCCAAAGCAAGTTACATTTGAATGAACATATTTTTTCTGTCAGTTCTTGCTTTGCCTGGGATTTGAACCCACAACCTTTGCGTTGTTAGCGAAATTCTCTACCAACTGAGCCACAGGAAAGCTCAGATACTTAAAGATACTCTCCATATCATTAACAATTCAAGAATTTCATGTGCTTATCCCTCAACAAGTAGGTTTATATCTTATTTGTATATGAAATATAGTGCATGTCATATTGTAAACTAATCTTTAGGCCGTGTGCTCTCAGTGTGCAATCAGAGCACACGGCCTAAAGATCAGTTTACAATGTTACCGTTGGGTAATAACACACTTAGGTTAAATGAATATCACAAAGAGAGGGAGTTGAGCTATGAAATAAGCAGAATGACTCTGACTACAATTTTCAATTTGTTGTATTTGGTTATTAAAGATTATTTCATTTAATCCTTATAGCAGAGTTTCGTTGAAATTGTTATTCCATTTTAACATTTTAAAATATCATTGTTGCACTTAGAAGTTAAAAACTGTGTTAGGTCCTCCTTTACAAAGACGTTACCGATTTTCAATGCCGTCATTGAGCAAAGAAGATTTTCACCCATTATTTGGGCATGGCACAATCAATTGTCGATTTTTCAAAATTTGTCTCCTTGGCAGAAGAATACCTCCAAAACACAATGTATCTGTAGAAATGAAGGAAGCAAAATGTGTTTCTGCCCTACCTATAGAGGGAGTCCTTTGTTTGATGGACTGCTTGTCCATGTGCAGAGCTGTTTTGTGCAGTTCATTCTGTGCACAGTGGTTCCCCGAGATACGAATGCTTCGAGTTATGAAATGTTAGAGATACGAAAGGTCTCGCTGGAATTTTTTTGCTTCGAGATACGAACAATAACACAAATTTCTGCTCTATTTTCCACTTGTTTGTTGCACGTCGCGCTGCGCTTCCGTGTCCTTGCGCTCCTTTCCCCCTTTGAAGAAAGTGTGCTTTAACACACTTTAAATCAGTTTTAAATCAAGCGAAACATTATGTATAGATTACCAAAAATGTACTATAACAAATGTTAGAGTCAAGGTGTCGTAAAAAAATTACATTTATAGTATGGAAAGTGCTGTTCTGTAGCGCAAGTTAGTCCTCCTCCAACACATCGCCTTACTTTCAATGTAAGGTTTGACATTTGTGTATTTTGCTTGTGTTTTATTCTGTTTTATTATCATTTATTACATTAACAATGTGAGGATTTAAGGATTGAAGAAACGTTACTTGATTTTTCTCTGTTTTTTTACACTGTTGTTTCTGAGAGCCGTTGCACGGATTAGGCGTTTTACATGTAAAACTTGCTTCGAGATACGAACTGTTTGACATATGACCGTCACCCTGGAACGCATTACTTTCGTATCTCGGGGTACCACTGTATTTGGAAGGATGCAAGTCATTGATGCTAGCGAGAACTATAATAAAGAAGCTGTTCTTCAATTTTGCCAGCAGTCACCCCAGGGTCCTCCTCATTCAACACCTAACACAATGAAAACACAACTAAATTCATTGTAAAGAGCTCAGGCTTGGACTCAGCAGATCATAAATCTTCCACCAAGTTCTCTTTTGAACCATTCAGATGTTCATTGGCAAACCTGTGATTTGTCATTTCAAGTGTTTTCCTTTTCAGTTTAACCAACTGCTTTGAGTGTGACATTGGGTGAAAATGTCATTGACAATATTTTCACCCAATTTCTATGTGTGTTAGGATAATCATTGAAACTCCACAAGGTGGGTGAGGTGGGGCCTGTCGTAGAGCCCCAAACCTTTATTAGAGCTCCAAGATAGCTCTGCACATAAGAGACACCTTATATCACGCTAATAGCATTACTACTAATAAATGTATAAACTATGATTTTTACTCTGTCTGTGGACAAGTGTTATCATCTCAGGGTCCCTCTGTTTGAACAATTAATTTATAAAAATCAATAATACAGTTTTCAAGCATGACAAATGCAGCTGTAGCATATTTCTTTGCATTTTTAAGTTTTCTCCAACCAAGCAAGCCAAATCAGGGTACCCAGAGATAGCACTAAAACTACACGCCATTAATAAAGAGTTTATTAAATTATCTTTGGTTTTAAGCAGTGTTATCAACAGAAACAGTAACAAAATTTTGTAACCAATCGACAGTGAGTCAACCATGAGAGTGAACTGTTCCTTTAATTGCTGGTTGTGATTTGGTGAAAGCACAGAGCTGGTCATTACCACTGACAAATGGATGAAAGCAGCAATGAACTAATCTCATGAGCCGCCAGTTTAACCAATAACACCTCCAATATTCCATCCACATGACTCAATCTAAGAACATTGTCTGAAGGGCATCAGGGAAATAACAAATGCAGAGAAATTTAGTTAAAGATTCTGGAAATGTCATGGCCAGAATGCAATAACTCCATCAAGCCCATCGCTAATAATGAACATCTCTCATGAATCCACTGACACGTGAGAGTGTGTGCTTCTTTTTGTTACATTTTTCATGAGTTTTCAGTGATTAAAACCCTATGTAATGACTGGTTTTACCATGTTTTCTTTCATTATTTTAGACCTCAGTGGTCATTCTTTCAGTAATGGATTGAGAAAAATTAGATTTTTCATTGGATACATACAATGGAAAAAAACTATTTTATTCATAAATATTGCGTCGTGGTGTGGGGCTGATCAGCGTTGCAAAGCAACGGATGGCTAAAAGCCACCGGAGATCGCAAAAAGGGCCCAGGAGATGCCCACCGATCGGGTCTATAGTGTCACCGCCAGAACAGCTGAATCACTGGGGCTCGGCTGGATTCTCATTTTACCGAATTTCAAATTTCAATCTCCAACTACTTTTGTATGTTTCTTGTTGAAATAAATACATTTTAAAGTTTGTGTATGCAGTAAGCAAGTCAGTATGTTGTAGACATTATTGTTCATTTCATATTCAAATATCAAATCACACATAAAGTAACGTTTTGTACAATGCCATTTGTGTGAAAAACAAAAGTTTACTGACTTTAACTGGTTACACCCATATACAAACTAAAAGCAGATTGGATTCCCCATTTTAGAAAACACCCAGAACTTCTCTGGTTCATTATTTATTAAAATAAATGATACAAATAAAAATTTTGTGGATACATTTTTGTGGCCCCTTTTCCCACAAAACATAATCAATTCATAAACACACATTTCAAGCTAGAGGTACAAATGAAAAGATAGAATAAAGTAAAAGTTATTATGTTATATCTATAAATGTTTTTTTTTTCATTCAAATGCTTGTCCTCTGATGTGCTCTTCAAGTTGTTCATGTCTAATTGTCTCTAAATTACACTAAACATATTACTATGTCAAGCTCTATATTGACTTAATGTCTGTGGTCAGATCTTTCTAGTGAATAACATTAATAACATTGATCATTTTAATCTGTGCATCCATTATAATATTTTATGCTTTAACTCAAAAGACATTAATTAATTCATTCATTCATGTGCTTATCTCCAGCTCACATCAGGGAAAAGGCAGGGCACACTCTGGACAGATCGCCAGTTGTTGGGATTGTGGGGGAAACTGGAGTACCTGGATGAAACCCACTCAAGAACTAGGAGAACATGCATACTCCTTCCAGGAAGATCACCAGAAGCCTCAAACTGGCAACCTTCTAAATGGAAATTCCCTAATTTCATTTGAATTAAGTGACAATTTTTTAAATTACAAAACTTATAAAGCACACTGGCCTCGTGGTGAGCACTTGGCTACAAATTTCCAGCTTCGCTGCATGATGTTGGGGGCTTCAGGTTTTGAATGTTGATCGAATGCATTGAAATACTACCACAAGCTTCAAACCTGAGTAACTGGCTAATTGATAAACAGAGTAGAATCTGCTTTTGATGCTTATGCTTCATGATAGCTCCTGAAGCAAACTTAGCTTTGATGGTGAGAGTGTGTGGCCTTGTGATCGGCTGGCGATCTGTCCTGCGTGTGTGAGTAGTGTTGTCTTTCAGTGAATGTGCCCCCACCCTTTCGTTTTCTCTCTTCAGACTGACAGTGGTTTAATCTTTCCTGGGCTTCTCATCTGTAGATTGGGAATAACAAAAATCGATTCTGGCAGGTGCTGCAGAGGGCTATGAATTAGCGTCCACATGTCCAACACATGGATGGAGGTCAAAGGTTATGACATGAGCAACCGCAGCAAAGCCATGCAGGTTATTACCGCAGTGATAAACTATTCTTGAAAAAATCTTTTCTTTTTATGTGATGTATAAGAATAACTCGTAATAACGAGTTGTAAGCCTAAATGTAAATCCAGATTCCCTTCTGCTTCTGTATGTAAGAGAATCAAAGAGCACGACACATAACATCCTTACTGCTCCTTAAATTTCAAGTCCATCCAATAGACTCATAGGGTGTTACTGTGGCTGGGAGCATGGAGAAAAGCATGGGATTAGTTTCCTTTTTATTCACCCACACAAAGGGTCAGAAACAAGCGAATGCCTTTAAATTAACAACACTCAGCATTGTATAGTCAAATCAAACAGGAAATCATCAAAGGTGTTGCGAACCACCAATGTCTTTACAGAAGGAGATTTTGAGAAGGAGTTAAATGAAGGAGTTCCAGGATCAGTCAGCAAGAGTCTAGAAGAAGAGAGAGGGAGAAACCCAGTAGATACATAACATGAGTGCACAGGAGATCCAAGATGGCGGGAACCGATCATGGAGAGTCAGGGGCTGTGAAGTGTAGGTCGGACAACCATGGTGGAGCTGCCATTTTTAAATTTACCAAAGTTACCAAAATAAACAAAAAATACTGCTACTACTAATAATAAAATTAATTCTGTCTGTTAAATAAATATTTTGAATCAAAATGTGGATTCATTTAGTTGCTATTAAAGAAATGATTTTTTATTGCAAATTATTTTTTCCTTCACATTTGCCTGTTTTTAAAGTTGGGTGGATTCTGATTGGCTGCTATCATTACCATTTGCATACTCCATACATGAATGCAATCATAAGGTTCAGAGGTTTGCTCACGCTCAACTACTTCCAATTCAAAAAAGACCAGGAACCACATTTTTTTTTGAGGTCAGAGCACCATTTAATACACCAAAAAATCCT